AATGCTTAACTTTTCAAATGCGGCTTTTGAAAAAAGATTGGCGAATCAATTCTCTCAGTAGCGGAAGAAGCAGTCACATTCAACGAGCTGGATTTTGGAGCTTCTCTGGCTGGAAATGTCAGTAACATCGAATACGTGGACCATAGAGACTAATATTTTATATTTTCTTTTGAATTTGCCATTACAATAAAATGAATTGAAACCGAATTGATATGTTATTTCTGCATTTCAAATAATTTATTAATTATTTTCAAACCTCTTGTATTCAAAACCAAGATAAATCAGATAACATTTCAATCCAACAGTTGGGTCAAACCTTCCTCCTCTGATATATCCACATTTTTTGAATAAATTATTCATACTTCGAGAAGTCTGTTAATACTTCCGTCACTACTAGATCAATATTTTTATTATGGTTCTCTTGATACGTCCTCTTCACTTTTCGTTTGATCATCCCAAATAAAAATTCTATCGGATTGAAAAAAGGGCAGTTGTATGGCCGGAATATGGCATAAATACCCAATGAACGGAGATAGGAAATTATCGCAGCGTCGCAATGAATTCTAGCACCATCAAGAATCCAAACAGAATGGAATCCAGGGTTGCACTGGACCGTTCCAGATTCCAAAGCAAATTTTCTAAAGCATTAGAACAATTTTGCTCTGTTAAAAGTCCCTTCTGTCGAGAATGCTTCAGTTAACCCTTCTTGTCCAATGAAGCATAACAGTGACATTCTGGGTTTTCTGACAAACTCACCCCTACAAATCAAACGTTCACCTCTTACTCCGCATCCTCTAGATCTAAGCTTTGACCTATTATCAAAACTAACTTCATCCAGGAAGATTACTTTTTGATAATCCCATTTGATTTCACTCATTTCTGAGGCGAACCGGACGACGTCTTCGCTACGTATTTGAATAGCTCGTCTCTCGAGTGTTTTCCAGCTAAGCCCTTCCTGGCGAAGGATTCAACAAATTGATGATGCAGAAATGGCGACCCGGAACGTGTCTTCAAACAACCGCTTTGCTTCGTCCAGATAAAGAGTCGGTTTGCAGCGATACAATTCAACCAACCATGTCCGCTTATTTGCGCCAAATTTGTTCACGTCACGTTTGTATTCCTTTCGGGAAAAAAATCCATTTGGAAATGGTTGACTTATGCTTTCGATAGATGATTGCAAGCTTAGCTTTGGATAGACCAAGGAAAAAGTATCCGAAAAGCGCATGACATGCTATATTCACCGTTGAGGCTTGTTGAGGCTCTTCTGTCAGCTCCTCTGCCATGATCCCCTGCTGCCTCTGCTGCATACCTTGTCTGGTTCTAATCCAGCACTTGCTTTCGTTTCCGCCCCTCAATAGTGTATCGTCGATTTACCTTCACTTATGCTGCTGAAATTCTGTTCATATCGACTTCGGATCTGTCGGATGCAGTTTAGCTATGTTAAATCGGGTTTAAGGTGGTTTTTGATTGTTGTTTTGAGTGTCATTGGCTATATTTCGTTGAATAGATGTGATTTGATATGCCTATGATAGATAGCAAATTTGACCATGTGGAGTCGTATTTAATTGGGGATATCCGGAACTGGTTCTACGGTGGCCATACTTCTTTCTTCTTCCTCGCATTTCAAGCTTATTGCGTATGGCATATTAGCTTATTGCGTGCTCTCAACTTAGTGTTTTAGATGCTCTTCCACAGCTATTAATTGAGAGCTTTCGATGCCTGTACCATTTTTTGCATTTGTATAATTGTGTGGCAAGTACAATCATACTCTATGCCCAGGGAAGTCGATAAATTTTCCAACCCGAAAAATTCCTAGACCAGACCGGGAATTGAACCCAGCCACCTCCAGCATGGTCTTGCTTTGTAGCTGTGCTTTTACCAACTGAGCTAAGGGAGGTCCCATAAGGTGGCCATAAGGCTCTGTAATTATTTGTTAGAGCTGTTGGTTATATTTTGTCGAGCGGATGTGAGTTGATATGTCGCTTGATATGGTTTAGATGAATAACAAATTGAACCATTTAGAACCTTAATCCTGAATATCTGGAACCTGTTCTACAGTGCCGATATGTCCCTATGGTTATTGTTTTGAGTGCCATTTGTCATATTTCGTCGAGTAGATGTGATTTTATAAGTCACTTGATATGGTTATTAGAGATATAAAATTTGACCATGTGAAACCATAATCCGGAATATCCGGAACCAGTTCTACGGGGGCCATATGGCTCTATGGTTATCGTTTTGAATGCCATTGGTCATATTTGGTCGAGTAGATGTGACTTGATATGTCGTTTGATATGGTTATAATATATATATAAAATTTGACCATATGGAACCATAATACGGAATATCCTGAACCTCTCTGGTTGTTGTTTTCAGTTCTATTGGTCATATTTCATCGAGTAGATATGATTTGATATGTCGCTTGTTACGTTTATGATCTATTGATCCATGATTCTAAAGTAGGTATGCGGTCATATGATTGTACTCTATCATTTCTAGGAGTTAAAAAATAAATATGTTGTCGCAACGATAAGTAAGATATATGATAAAGATTGAAAAAAACACACCCATGCCAACACATTCATGATGCAAGAGGGAGGGACCTTTTGGTGAGTACAACCTTAAATATGTAAGAACCACTCACCGGAATGATATTAAATAAATTTAAATTTATTCGGCCATGGCATCTCTGAGATACACAATTTTGAAAATAAAAAGTTTGTCAAGGGATTTTACGGGTTTATCACTTTTCACAATGCTTTCTCGTACTGGCTGCGTTTGTATTAGATTATATTAGATTGTTGGATTTACAAATAAAATCGAAAGATGGTTCATGGTTCCACCATGATAAGATAGAAAACATTTTTTGCACTGAAATTTTCCTTAGAATTGGTTTAGAAAACTATTTACTTAGATTTTTTATATCTTCTGCCAATCTTTTTTATGGGGCATTAAGCTTCTTGCCTGTCCTTGTTGATGCTCTGCCTCTTTTAGGATATCCGCTGGAGGCGAACCAGCCCCAGGCTGAAAACCTCCTTATTTAAAAAAGCTAACCTAACCTTTTGCGAAATCCTGCCGGGTTCCAAACTAGTGCTTGCTTGCAGATTCCATTTCCATCCCTACGTAGAGAGTGGCCGACCAATATCCACTTACGTTCTCGAATTTCGGTTGATATCGGCTTCTCAAGGATGAAACTCAGCATTCGAGATCTAGTTGTCAGGCCACCTTGTACGAATTATAATACTTTTTCGTTTATGGCTCCGAGCTAGAACGATTGTGGCAGCAATATTTGTTGTGATGAAGGGGCTTGGTGGCCTAGTGGCTACTGTTTTTGTATACTGAAGATAAGATCGTAGATTCTATACCAGTTTGCTTTGCATTACTGTGTTTGTACAACCACAACATTTGATTAATATGTTTAAAAATTGCTTTCCAAAGTGATTTCAGATCATTTAGAACAATGACAACTTTTCTGGTCACAGATTATCAACTACAAAATTTAAGATCATAAGAGTTCAAGCAAAAATTGCGAACAAGACTTAGGGGCTCTGCGTTCAGAAAAAGCCAGTGTCCCACCAGTTGTAGAAAGTCCCTGCATTTACCAGTTGTATATTCCACTAGAATTAATTCAACAATCTTTCCTTTCGACATTTTGTATTGGGACCTTTTGTCATAGAGAGTTTCATATTTTGCTAAAGGATGTAATTTTTCAATCATCATTTTCAGAGGTACGCATTTCTTAAGAATTTATCATAGAAACATAAAATTGCATAAGTACCATGGCATTTATATATTCCATGCGGAAAAATCAATTACCGTAATGCACCGAATACCACACAATCTTTTAATTAAGACATATAATGTTTAATTAAATAAAGGATCCGCTTATCAAAATAATAATTATATTAGAAAAACATGGACGATTCTATATGATCATCAAAAAATTACGTGGCATGTGGATCATATTTCAGTCAAATTTACTTTTGTAATTCATTTTTGGACTGTTTTTAATTTGGAGCTTCGTATCAGTCTTCCAGCAAGTGGTTTTTCGAGGATCATGAATCAATAAACATATTCCACGATCTCAAACCATTATCACACAAGGAACAAGTCATGAAGACAACCGATATGTGAAACTTATCTGCAACAAATTACATTCCCGGTAATCAACATATCCGCCTTACGAACCCGGTTACATAGTAGTCACATTAACGGCGACGTGACATTGATTGGTTCGGAAGAGAAGAAAGTTTGTAGCTATAGGTTGGTCCAAGCCGCTAGTCGCTGCTGCTGCTGCTGCCTGTTTCGGTGCTGTAGTCGGTAGCCAGCCAGCCAGTCAGCCAGGAAACTTGAGATAAGTTTTCGAAGATAATGGAGGCATCCAGTCGCGCCTGCCATATAGACAGAGCGAGAGTAAAATAAGCGAAGTAAATGCTGTTCGCCCATGCACATGCAGCGGAATAACTCAACAGTGTGTGAGATTGATACACACCGCCCCTGTGCCGGTGAAGTGAAAATGCAATAAATCTTCCGTCCAGCCGATATGCAAGCCCGTGAGAGAGACCTGCTGGCTGCGTTGCACTGAAACTCGGCGCCCGACTTCGTAGGGACAATAATGGGGCAATGACTTTCAATTTTCGAAGACAATTTCAGCTTCTTGCTTCAACAGATTCCTATGTTTTTTCTTCACTAGTGCATACGTCCCTTAAAATCGTTATCACGCCCAAACCGACCGAAGCCTGCTGCGGTTCATTGAACTTTTCCTGTTTTTATCTTTCTCCTTCTTCGACTATTGTTCCGATCTCATCTTACCCTCTCTCTCTCTCTCAATTTGTTTGATATGTTTTTGTCACTCTGACGGTGTCTTCTTATGCGTTTATTATCAAGTTTCTGTTTTTTCCCCCTACCATCAATATCACATATTCTCCTTTTATAACAGCCATCTCATTATGCAGTGTTTGAGTTTTGATTTTTTTTTTCTCTCTGTCTTTCCATTCCAGCGCATTGAGGAATTCCGAAAATCCTACGATAAAGCGATCGCTGACCTAGAAAACCTGCACCGGCTGCTGCTGGACAACCGGACGGTGCGGGCCAGCGAGTCGGAACCGGCGCTCAAGTCCTGCCGGCAGCTGAACCAAGACGTGCAGAATTCGTTGATCCTCGTCATGGACGGTGGTGAGTGTGGTGAAAAACTTGTCTTCCTTTCTTTCTTTTTCGCGTGTGCGATATTTTGGAAGTGCTCCGTCGGTGATGACGATGATGACGAAGGCGGTCGGCCGGTTTGGTGATATCAAGGGATTTGTTGTATTTTATTTATTTATTGTGATCCGGTTATTATTGGCGAAAAGGAGATTTTCGAGAATGCAGACAGTTGACGATGTCGTTTTGGGCCCAGGGACTACTTTCGATGACTTTCTTTATTTTTTTTCCTGCTGGGCCTGTTTACTTTATTTGGTGATGTGGTGACTTCTTTTATGAATATATTGATGGCAGATTTCATCGGACATGCTTGTTTATGTCTTTCGTGACCTTTTGAGTGATGTTGCGAGAGGTTGACATATTGAATGAAGGGATGAAATTTGAGTAAATGTGAATCTATTAGGCCAAATATGTAGTGAACCTTTTTCAGTGCCAATGAATCAATCAATGAATCAAAAAACCTGTTATAGCGCATCAAGCAATTAAAACAAGAGAAAGTGATTTTTAATTGGCGCAAATGTAAAGAGCACACACTAATGTTTTTTGTTGAATTTTTTTTAAGTAAAACAGTGTTGAAATCCCCTTGGATGTATGAATTGTATATGTAACAGTCGGGTATAACGAAATAACGTTGAGCTGCTAATATCTGCTAATCTGCAAGATGCGCCTCTTATAAAAAAATTATAATAACAAACGTAAATCCTTAAAAAAAAGCGATTTGTTTTCTTCAGAAAAAAATGTGCAGTCTTAGATCACTTACAACTAAACGAGAGTAGGGGAGAATGGTATACAACGCACCCCCTGGGCAGAACGCACCAGCTGACTTTCATTTGTGTTTTTCATGGCTTTTACGTAACTTTTTTGTTGTCTTATCAAGCAGCACTTCTAGCATAGCATCTGAACTCAAAATCCTGCACGATAAATCCTAGAATTGGATTAAAAATTCCAAGAAAAACTCAAAACAAAATGAAAAAGTGCGTCTTACCCCGGGGGTGCGTTATGTACTGTTCTCCCCTACTACCGTTTGTACTTCCTTTTCACCCTATATGTAACTTCGTCCAGCTGAGAGATAAAAAAATTGTCGTGTTCGTCAAAATTTCGTAAAATGATGCCATCTTCAATGTTTCCATAAATGTTCACCGATTTTAACAAGACATAAAAAAAGTTATTATTCTTATATTAGTGTAATCCCCCATTAAGCAAACATTTTCACCACTCAAATAAAGTACTCAAAAATTGAAGAAACATTCTGCAAGACATCAAAATGCTACACTCAATAGCTTCGTCTTAAATGGTCATGTCCCACTTTTTATCTTTCGTCTCACTGTGCGACGGTGCGAGTGGACGCGACGATGTAATTGCGACAAACGCCTGCGACATTGGTGATTTCGGCGACACCATCGAAAATGAAAATTCTGTCCGCCCGAGTGCGGCAAAAGTGAACCTTCCTCCACTGGTGGTGAAGAAAGTACCGACAAACCGACATGACACTTAATTCTGACTTATGCCCGAAAATCGTAAACGGCCGATTTAAATGTGTGCAGTGGTCCGAACTGTCAAAACCATAGGATTTTTAGATCTAGATAAAAATAATTTGTCCAGAATAGATCAGACACGAACCTATTCATAACTTTTGCATGCGGGTTCATGGCATAGCTAAATATTTCCTGCAAACATGGAGCCAGATGTCAGTAGTGTGCTTTGGTCAGAAATTTTATTGTTTTTGCTAGATCTTTCATGTTGGTTTGTCGGTGAAGAAAGTGCCACTCAAAACACTGATTAGCGATTTCGCATCGCTGGGCGTCGCAGCTGAGTACAAACTCCGCCGGATCGGCACCAAGGTGATGCTCCGTACGATCTGTAGCATCAAGTTTCCGACAGACAGTGCTTCAAACGTGAGGTCTTCAAACGCATCCAAAAGCAGGCGGCAACCAACAATCAACCAGGACGCAAGAAGGACAAAACCACGGCATTCAGGACGGAGGATTTCCCGGCTCTTCGTGCTCCTCAGCAAACACAAGCGAATTCGCGACTGCAACCAGCTCCCTTCAAGAAGCTTCCGGTGATCCTGCTTGACAAAGATCTCCACCCCCTGGATTCTGGAGCAAACCAAAAGCGCCAAACAACATCCCCAATTAGTTCTCAGCGGATGAACTGATGGAAATTTTCGTCAACATGACCGGTGCTCTTCTCAGTAAGTTCATCTTCCAGTATGGCGTCCAAAACGCTAACTATGGTCACCTGGAATGCTTGCTCTGTAAGAGCAACAAAGATTAAGCTTGCCGACTTCCTCCGCAAGCACAGCATCGACGTGGACTTCCTAACCGAGACCCACCTAAAGTCCGGTGACAGCTTCTGGTTGCCTGACCACAACATTATCCGACTTGATCACACCAGAGAGAAGGGGGGGGGGGGTGTTGCGGTCGTCATTAATAAAGGAGTCAAGTTCTGCACTTTGCCTCACATCCGCACTTTTAACATCGAGACTCTTAATGTGGAGGTGGAATCGACAACTGGAATCGTCCGGTTCATCGCTGTTTACTGCCGATTGTGTGCTGCCAACAACGGATGAGCAAGCAAATTCAAGAATGACCTGACCACCATCACTCATACTAGCTGCCGATTTATCGTTGGGGTGACCAGAATGCCCGCCATGAAGCTTGGCGGAACTACAAGTGGAAAAGGAACGGATCCCAAGTAACATTGCAAGTTTTATCGAGGTTTTAAAGAACTCCTCAACCTAAACCATGGTCTCCAAGAGCGTAATAAAACCAAAATTGTTGCTTGGGATGTCTTTTGTTCGACTACGCACAACATGGACTGTACACTTCGCAGTTTCCGGACGAACCAACTTTCATCTCTCCGGCGAGTAATCCCACTACCCTGGATAGGTGCCCGAGGTGCACAACGATCTCAGCTCCGACCACGAACCGGTGGTGGCTGAAGACTGCGCAAATACTACCACCACGTCAACTGGGTGCAGTTTGGACGAATGGTTGACAGAGACATCGACGAAGATCCGCCGCTTGATACCGTATATGACATCGATCGAGCGTTGGAAGGACTCCAACATTCCATATCCGTGGCTGACGAGGCATGTGGTCGACAAGTTCCTTCTTCTTCTTCTTCGCTTTTCAAACTTATTGCATATCGCATATTAGCTTATTGCGTGCTCTCAACTTAGTGTTCTAGATGCACTTCCACAGTTATTAATTGAGTGCTTTCGATGCCTGTACCATTTTTGCATTGGTATAATTGTGTGGCAAGTCCAATCATATTTCTATGCCCAGGGAAGTCGAGAAATTTTCCAACCCGAAAAATTCCTAGACCGGACCGGGAATTGAACCCAGCCACCTCCCACATGGTCTTGCTTTGTAGCTGCGCCTTTACCGACTGAGCTAAGGGAGCCCCCGACAAGTTCCTGTGAGGGGTAAGTTTGTTGCCATTGCTTTCCACACCCAATTACTGATTCGCTTGAGAAATGTTCGTAGACGCCAGTTTCAATGGACTAGAGATCAGGACAGAAATCGTGAAATGGCCGATCTGAACAGGCTTCCAGAATGGACTCTCTCCGAAATGAAAGTTTTTGAGGTGTTGTCCAGAATCTGGACGACCGCTCCACACCATTGTGAAAAGTAGCCAAGGTCTTAAAACTCATCCAAAACCCGTTCCACCTCTCAGAGTCGAAAATGATGGCGATCGGCTCTTTATTACCCCACAGGAGAAAGCAAATGCTATCGGCGAGCATGTCGCTTCATCGCATTTGCTTTGCTCGAGTATCCAAAGTCCGCTCGAAGATCAGGTTGCGCAATGCGTACAAAACCTAGATGCCTCCCCTTGTGTCGTGCCTCCGGCGGATAAGATTACAGTACAACAGATTTGCTCAGGACTGAAATGTACCGAGAATATGAAGGCTCCTGGGTTTGACGGCAAATTCAACTTTATCTTGAACAGACTCAGCATGAAACTGCAGTCTCTTTTGGCCGCTATCTTCAACAGATGCTTGGAGCTGCACTAGTTTCCAAGCATTAGGAACGTAGCAAAAATCATACCAATTCGCAAACCTGGTAAGGACCCAACATTGTCATCAAGCTACAGACCAATCAGCCTCCTTTCAAATTTGTCGAGGAAAACAACATTCTCCTTCCGGAACAGTTCAGGTTCAGGAAGGGGCACTCCACCAATCACTAGCTAGTACGGATTATGAATAACATCTGAAGTAACAAAGCTGTATCCAAGTCCACCGCCATGGTCTTGCTAGACGTTAAGAAAGCGTTTGACAATGTCTGGCACAATGGGCTTGCATACAAGCTTTGTAACTTCAACTTTCCTTTGCATCTTGTTAAAATCACTCGTAACTAGCTTCAGCAAAGGTCGTTCAGGGTATCGTTAATGGCTGCCTTTCAAACACGTTCTCCATCCCAGCAGGTGTTCCGCAAGGAAGTCTGTCGGCAATCACCCAAACTAAAACCGGCTCCCTCTTGTACTGTAATCATGGATGGCAAAAGGGTTGTGTGGTCTGCCGAAGTAACCTATCTTGGGATGTTGTTCGATGAAAAGCTCCTCTTCCGTTCGCATGTAGATAAAACTATAGTCGCCTTGGTTAGGTGTCTGTATCCGCTGATTTGCCGCAGAACAAATTCGTTGTCTACAAACAAATCATAGCACCTGCAATCCTCTACGCAGCTCCGGTGTGGGAGTCATGTGCACAGACTCATAGGAACAAAATCCAGGTTGCCCAGAATAGAGTGCTGAGGATGGGTTTTGATCGTCCCTTCGACACAAGAATTTGCGATCTTCACCTAGAGGTGAATGTTCCTAAATTAGATTTTAAAATTGATGACATCTGAACATGCTTTGATAAGCAATCTGTGTATAGTAGGTTAGGTGTAGTTGTAAATAGTAGTTATAAGTAGTCTTCTTTTTTTTCAATTCCAAACAAACCAATCCCACCAAGGTGGCCATCCTCAAAACAG